TCAAAACACAGCAATTTTTTTGAAGCTCCTAAAGCAAATGACCCTTTACCTTTTGAGCCAGGTTATCCAGTATTTTAGTTGAGCTAGAAGCACTTCTGAAGGCTGTTGACTCTTTCCAGGAAATGAAACAGACACTTGCCAACTGGGAAATGAGTCTTCTGTTCTGAAAGAGGACACAGGTTCCAAAGGCATCCAGGACTGCCTTTCCGCCCATGTTCTCTCCGTGTGTACGAGTGGGTCCAGAGTTCCAAGGAGCAGCTGAGGGACATAAGGAATGTACTCTGAAGTTAGGTACTTATCACCGATATGAAAACTGAAGTGTCCGTAGCACAGAAGTGAAAGTGAAAAACCTGCTGAAAATTACAATGAAAGCAAAAGTGTGTCACCCCTGAGTAAACAATATTATGTGGAAGTGATGAGGACTTGGTAAGGGTGTGAGAAATCACCTCTGAAATCTCACAGATTTTTCTCTGTAGTGGCAAGAGCTCTACTGAGTCGGGGAAGGGGTAGTCTGTGGTCACAGAACAGGACAAGTTCGCTTGGATCCTGTAAAGTTCTAACCTTTGATCTAGCCTTATTATTGACTTAGTTAACTAATCTCAAATACTAATCAAATATCTTATTAAAAATCAAATGCCCCATTGCCTCTTTCAGCTTCTTAAAATATTCATATTGGTACTTTACGTAAAAATAAACGTGCCAGGACTTTTCAAAGAAGCACCTTGTATGGAATCTGAATTACACTTTGCAAGATTCACTACTTGAACCTACAGCCCCAGAATCTGGATTTCCAGTTACAATATGTTACACTTTCCTCTGAGTAACCAAGACGGAGAAAAGAGAAAGAAAGAATTCGCTCAAAATACAATCAATGAGGCCTAGAGGGACTGCCGCCCATCAGGGGAGCAGCCCTGATCCAAAAATCAGCCTTTCTTTTTATTGACAAGACAAGGAAGTTTTACAAGAAAAATCAGTGGATTCAATCATCAAAGTAGGACATAAAGACATGGGCAGTGTTATAAAAGTTGCCTATGGCTAAGTATAGCTTAACAATGGAAACTAGTAACATCAGTAAATTAAAGTGACATTCCAAAGTACAATTAGTAAAGGGCTAAATTGGTCTATCTGGCTCATTATCTAAAGTCTGACCTCTCCTTAAACAAAAGTTACACACTCTTATGATAAAATCTAAATACAATTATCTCTAAAGTTTCCCCCAACAGACAGCTTGCCCCTAGCAAACATTTTTTCCACAACTTTCCCTTTAGCAATTCTTAAAATCTCTTAACAGAATCGTATGACAACTACCTGTCATCTCTAAAATAATTAAAGTATACAGTCCCGTACCTAACCAGTGATTAAGAGTTGATTAGATGGGCTTTGGCCACACTATCTGTGGGCTGTGGCCCCATATCTGAGGGCTTTTGCCCCATACATGCATTTACCTAAAAACCTTATTCAAAAATCAAACGAGAATCACGATTTCTAACCCACTACAACAATAGCCAAGGAAATAATGCTTGAAGGAGTTATGCAAACAAATAAAGGGCTGAGTCTGTTTTTCTTCTAGTTCCCTAAGGGTCTTCTAAGAACAAAGGGCACCCTACCACTTGAAGGGACGCCACAGCAGTTCGAGTGGGCTGAGAGAGGCACAGTGTTTTTATTTCCCTCATCAAAATCAGAGTTTATCCTAAGAAAAACATAAGCAGTCGATGCTGATAAATAACAAAAATGAACCCTCTGTGCCTTCGAGCCAGTGGTCAGGCAGTCGTTCCTAGGGACCACTGCATACCGTTCATGTATCTATTTGGGGGTTGGCCAGACATCCGCCATGTCTACGAGTAGCCATGGTAATCGGTCCAGTTAAGGAAAATGTCATCTGTTGGAAACAGCAGGACATCAGCTAAAAGCAGACGACTCCCGATGCCCCAACAGATGTCTCACCCTTCAAGCAGTGGGCGGGCGGCTGGGTGGAACAACTTCAAAGAAGAATGGCGCAGGGGGCGGGGGTTGTTCATGTTCTACACTCTTAACTGGCAGTGTTTCTTTAAGCAGGCTAAGGAGTAAGAACAAGCAAAATAAAGGGAAAAGGCCAAAGAAATGTAATTTCGTTGGAATGTTTTTCCCAAACTGTTAGAGAAAATAAATCATGAGTATTGCCTTTCACTAAGAAGCACATACTGTTTTCTGACTGATTTTGTAAGCGTCCTCCAACAAAGCAAACACGCCCACTTGCTTTCCTCTGAAGACCATTGGGGTAAAATTGCTGACGTGTGCAGGAACGTGAGAGCAGCGGACCACAGTTCATGGATGGTTCAGTACCTAACGAGACTCATTTAAAAGCCTAAACATTTTCACACACACACACACACACACACACACACACACACACCCTATGTCCCACATGATTCATGTGTGTGTGAATTTCCCAAATATGCGGAGAGTAATACTCCATTTCTCTGCCTTAATAATTAGCATAGTAATTTATTCTGCTGAACCAGTATTTTTTATTATTTTCTATATCCTTATTTATATTCTTTAAAAAAAAAAAAGAAGAAGAAAAGAAAGAGTAGAAGAGATTCCGTACAGTAGAATCCTGTTATTGTAGAGTACTCACCTTGTGACTTTGGTCAACTCCAGCCAGCTCCTACACCCCCCTTATTCCCAATCTTTAAGGTACCCATGAAAGAAATTAAGAAATTATGGAGATTACAGGGTATTTTTTTATTATAGCAAGTGGTGGGAATAAGAGGAAATTCTCATATAAATCTAAAATCGCAGGTAAAATTTGATTATTTTATTTCTGGCTTCAACATATGTATTTTAGACTTGTATTTGAAATATATGTATAAGACCTGGGAAATGGACTGCATTTTCTGTCTGGGCCTGCTGGTCTAAACCTTCCTGCAAGATAAGTTTAATAAGTTTAAATAATGCAAAGGATCACACCCGTTAGAACTTCAAGGGGATCAATGTAAATATAACCTAATAAAAAATTAAGACAATCTCTTCAGTGATGCATGGAATTGACTTCTAACATTCACTTACAATTCTAGTTTTGCAGAATCCTGCTATAGGAAAAATGGAGCTGTTCGGTGTATTTGTAAAGAAAACTATGCTGGACCTAACTGTGAAAGGTAGGCTAATAAAATTATCTATTTTCCATGTGGGTCAAAGGAAGCCTTCTGCTTCTTACACTCATCAGCTCTGCCATGTTTCATTCAGTAGGTCTTGAAGTGGATGTTTGAGAGGAGCGGGTGGGCACCACAATTCAGAACCCCTTGGCAAAGCTTTCCCCAAATCCCATGCCCCAAATACAACTATAACAATATGTTTCCCAGGGGTCCAGGCCAGGGCCACATTTCAGGATAAATGGACAGGGAAGTAGGATATTGAGTTTGTGTATTTTGAAAAGATTCTCTGGATGGTTTTGTTAACACTCTTCTCTTCATCAATGAGAACAAGTACTACAATTAATGTTGGGGAAAAAAAGAGTGGGGCTTCCTCGGTAAATAAAAAGTGAATCCTCTAACATCCATAGAGCGATAACTTGGAAAAAGCAGTAACGTATTATTTAACCCATTCTTTACACCATTTCTTCCACTGAAAAGTAAATGAATTCCATGAGAGTTTGGATTTTCTAAATCCCTGTTTGGTGTTTATCCTGACACTTTTTAAATTGCTCTGGCCTTTGCTCAAAGGACAAATGCCGTGGTGACCAAGGATTTGAGGTTTCCCACTGAATGATTTCCTCGAAAGATATTTTCCATTTACCCCACCGGTAAGCAGCTCACAGTTTTCTAAGATAAAATGGCTTTTGCTAAGAGTGTCAGAGAGAGGTCTTCTTAACAGAAATGCCATTGCCATCGGCCTCACCATGGTGTTTCAGCAGCTGAACGCTGTGTAGTGCCGTGAAGACGGGGAACGAAGGGCCAGGAGGTACTTGTCACACATCTGCAGGCTGCCCACCCGAGCAAAGGCACACTCACCCACACTCAGCCTGGGGTTTAGACATGCAAAATGTGGATTGTTCTTTCACTAAAGCACTGTGGGATTTTTGTCTTTTTTCTTTCTTTTTTTCTCCCCATAAAAAGGAAAGTGAGAGCAGAAGGCCCACATGAATTTCACCCAGTAGGAGAGACTGATAGGATCAGATGACAGTGGGCTAATGAACGTTTGACACACTCATTCTGAATTTCCTTACTTGGGGACACAGGGATAGGAGTCATGTTCTGGCTCAGTGGGGGTCTGAGAGGATTGTTCACTGGCCAGGGATGGAGCTTTTTCTCCTCAGTGTCTGAGGTTAAACTCAGTTTAGTCTGACAACATCTGAGCAGCATTGCTAATGGGTGTTTGATGGGTCCTGTGAGGGGAGTTAATGGCCTTAACTAGAGTCCTGCCTCCCAGAAGTGAAGTAGCCTGGCCCTAAGGGCTCAGTCCTGTAAAATAACACTGGGGTGCAGATAAGGGTTCTGTCAGCTACAGTGGCCCCCTGTCCCAGCACAGTACCACATCCCACCCCAGACTGCAGATGATAAATCCTCCAGCACACATCGGAGACTTGTGGGATCTGCTGTTACCCACTAAGGCTGGGTCAGATTTGGTGCATGCTGGCCCTGGAATGGGGGGATCTAGAAAAGAGCACGAGTTTGGGAAGTGGTGGTAGAGTGTTAGAGAGATTTCACATCAGCCTGGCTGGGTTTGTATCTCAGCTCTGCACTTTGTCATCCTCCTGGGCAAGTTATTTGACCTCTCTCAGTGCCAGGTTCCACTTTTACAGAATGGGAAAATAAAGGTATTCGCCGCAAAGGTTGTGAGGTAATACCGTAAAGGTTTTAGTAAGGTGTCTCTATGAAGCATGTAGAACTTACATTCATCCTCATCTTTTTCATAGACCTTGATTTCTAGAGTTCATGATATTACATATAAGCACAATTAATTCATTTCCTGTTCTTTCAGAGCATGGGCTATGTGTTTTTCCTCTTCCTGCCTCCCTCTATGTCTTGCATAAACTGGACATGAATTGTTCCTCTGTTGGATGAATTCACTCACTCATTTATAGCAGCAGCACTTAATAAATGCTCAATAAAAATTAACTAGTAACAGTACGAGTCATAGTGGTCATTGTCCAACTCCTGCCACTGGCCTAATGTGTACCTGGGATAAGTTGGCTCGTCTCCCTGAATCTCAGATTTCTTAGCTAGAAATTATGGCTTTAAACTACATAGTACCATTTGCTGATTATTTCCCATGTCCTCGTTGCTTTCCATTTCTCATCCGTCAGCCTCACCCTAAGAGGAGGTTGCATTTTGTTGTTTTGCAGATGAGGAAACTGAGCCTCAGGGAGGTAATGGGACTTGCCTAAAATCACATCACTACTAAGAGGGAAAACAGGATTTGAACAGTTTGACCTAAAAGTCTGGATTCTTGCCCTGTCCTTATACTGCTTTTCCTAAATGTCTTCTTAAGGGTCTTCTAAACTCTGGTAATTAATCAGTTGGATGAGCATCTAATATGCAGGGGAAGTCACTAACCTGTCACAAGATTCCCTTTGATGGGAGGCTGCCTCTGCAGAGGGGCTGGGAGTAAGCTCCCCTTGGAAGGCTGTTCATCTGTGCGGGGAGTGTCACTTTGAGCAATTTTCTCTGATCCTTCTCCTCTGTCCCGTCCACCATCTCTCACACCCTGCCCCCTTTTAAAGAGATTGTACTGAGGTTTCCTATATCAAAAACTGATCTTAGAACTTTTTGTAAGAGGCAGCTGGAGTGGGTAGGAATGCAGATACATCTAAGACAGTCTCTTGTCCTCAAGAAAAGACACCTGACAGCCATTCATTGCAAGGTGGAAAAAAGTAAATGCGAAATGGAAGGACCAGCAAGGGCCATTCCAGAGTGTAGTGCAGGAAGAGGCTGAATCATCCAAAAGTAGGTGGCCTTGGCTGCTTTTGATTTGTGTTTGGCCCGGGGGCCGAGAGGAAGATTTCTGTTTCAACAGCCAAGTTCTTAAGTTGTCTGAGTTAAGTTTCACCAAATCTGTGTTTTCAATATATTTGTGAACTTGGACCTCTCCAAAAGAGGCTTTTCAAAATATGCAGCTGACCTGTACAGATAACCGCTTCAAACAAAAGTAAAAATCAGTCCAAACCAAGAACACACTAGGTCTTTCTGCACTTGGAGATCATTTAATGAAGGGGTGGTTTTCAATCTGACTGTGCGTAAGTGTCTCCTGGAAACCTTTGGATTCCTGAGTCCTCCCCAAACTCCCTTCCACCATCCACTGAAAAAGAATGTCTCGGGTGAGGCCCGGGAGCCTGCGTTTTGACTTCCTTTTGGAGTCTCTCACTGCTGTGTGAACCACTATTCTGCTTCAACCTTCAATACCACATCTGTGTAATAGAAAAGTGTTTCTCAAACTGCAGCCAAAAAACCCCTGGTGTCCTCAAAAATATTCGTGGAGGTTCATGGGTTCTCAATGACTATTTTCTTAATTTTATGTTTAATGTCAATGACAATCACTCTGCAACTAAGAATTACATTTTTAAAGATGAGGAACATGAGACTCAGAGCCATGAAGGTGACCTTAAACTCCTAACAGGAGAACATAGTATCATCAGAGACGATGATGATGACAATAACGATTTTGATGATGGCCTCAATAGGAAAGAACAAGGAAGAGGAAGAAGAGAAAGCCAATATTTATTGAGACTTACTATGATGCAGGGATTTAGTCTAATTCTTCCTGAAGACATCAAGTTTCTCAAATTTAAGCTATCAGCCCTGTTATTTGCATAGAGTTCTTATGACTCCCTATTTCTGGATTCTTGTCCTGTGACCTTGAATAGGTTTCTTACATTTTCCCAGCCTTAGCATTTTCCAGTCTTTCCTAAAGAAGTGGAGAGCATGTATATGACACCTCCTTTACAACAGGTGCTTTTTTTTTTTTTACATTATCTTATTTAATCTCAATGACAGCTACAGAGTGACACCCCTCCCAGAATGCTTTCTGTGTCACCCAGGCTGGGAACTTGGGCACCCTTGATAAAGGCATTCAGTGACAGCTGTATAGCCCTGGGAGGAAAAGTGGAAGAGAGAGGAGAGGAGCTCAAAAAATTTCCTAAGATAGTAGTAAATTTTGATTTGGTCAAAATCACCTTTTTTCCCCCAGACAACATGTCTTTTGGTTTTCCAATTTGCCCAAATAATATAATCACTAACTGAAATGACAAAGTTCATATGCCACAGTCCTTTCATTTGCACTGTAAATTTATCAGCTCTGTTTTCCCTGGATGGATCAAGTCATTCATAGATCTAGAAATGAGATTATGAAAGGGAAAAAAATAGAACCAGGCTACTGGGTCCCAGGGCTCCAAAGCTCTCTCTAGGTTTAACTACTGATCCTTTTGTATCTTTGTTATTAGCTCTTTGACGCCAGAATTGGGCACGTAGATAGCATCTGATTATTCAATTGTTATAAAAATTAATTTATTAGTTAGTTAGTTAGTTCATTAATGTCAGACTTGTGGAATGGAAGGAGCAGTAAACCTGGAATCCCATGTGAAGTTTGAGCCCTGCAGCAATGAATAAATCATTTAGCTTCCCTGTGCTCTAGCTTCCTTATCTATAAATGTAAGGGTTTTTAGGGGGCTATCAATAAGTAAACCTATGTATGCTCATTCTATAAAATCTTTAGGGTCTGAAGTTTGGACTACAACTTCAACGTTGCCTCTGAACCTACCACCAAAAGATGTTCTTGAAACTCAGAGTGACTCAAAGTAGGTTTCCACTGTGGTTGAGATTCCAACCTACAGAATATAAAATTTGATTTTTCTCTTGGGGAAAACCAGGGGACAACCTATGGAGATCAAATACAGTGGAATTAAATGGAGAAAAGGAAGTAACTGGCATCTGGCCTCTATGAGCTTGGGCAAGTCCCTTCACCCCCAGACCTCAAGATTCCCAGCTATGCATTGAGGTGGGAGATCTGAGTCCCATTTCAGTGGGCCCTAAGAGTCTAATATTCTCTATTTGGTGAACTTCAGCAAAGGATAGAGATTCAATCCAGCCACGTGTTCTATAAAGCAATAATTTATGCTGGTTTAGGGACCAGAGGGCTTGTAAACCAAGGTGCAAAAACATGAATAAGTGTAAACAACAAAACTCATTGAACATTTCCTCTTAGAGTATCTCTGTGGATTGTGAAGAACTGACATTCATCCTCATCCTCATCCTCATGTTCATTCTAAGAAGACCTTGGTTTCTAGAGTTCATGATATTATGTATAATCACATTTAATTCATTTCCTGTTCTTTCAGAGCATGGGCTATGTGTTTTTCCTCTTCCTGTCTCCCTCTATGTCTTGCATAAACTGGACATGAATTGCCCCTCTGTTGGATGAATTCACTCATTCATTTATAGCCGCAGCAGTGTGGTCCAGGGTGGAGCAAAGGAAAGAACATCAGGGTCAGAAGGTCTGGGCCTTGCACTGTGACTTCCTAGCTAAGAGACCCTGGAAAACCAAAGTAAAGCCTGTCAGCCTCAGAAAACCAGGCCTGTGTGGCCTCCCTCCCAGGTGTCTGTGGTAACTCAATAAACTCATGTAGGTGAAGCTATGAGATACAACGCAAGCAAACGGTATAAAGACCAAACATACCACTTCATTACAACTACACCAAAACACTGAAACATGGGAACAAAGGCTGGAAGAACATACACAAAATGTTGAACAGTGGTTTGGGTAGGGTCCTGAGATTACAGGTGTGATTTTTTTTCATTTCTCTATTTTTCAAATGTTCTGAATTATGATTCTTTTACTTTAAAGGGAAGCCTTTAAAAATGTAGTGTCTTATTATTACTGGCTAGGGCTTGTTGATTTCCTTGGAAAGCCCTTCCTTCCCTTCCACTCCCAAGGCCAACGCCCTAGCCCAGGCTCTCCACACCCTACCCTGGCCTCCCTGCGCCAGCCTGCAGCCCATCCTGCACTCTGGAGCCAACACTGGTCTCCTTTCACCTCTTTCATCAAGTTCAAAACCTTTACTGGTCCTCTTTCTTCTTTTTTCTTGTTTTGGAAGTTAACCTTTGACCCCTTTATGTGTGACCACACATTCTTTCCAGCCACTCCCAAAGCATCTTAAGCTCCAGTTAGCCTGTCTTCTGCACTAGTGTAGAGTCCACGGCAAAGGAGAGTCTGCAATCACCCAGCAAACATGTGTAGTTTGACCTGTACGATATTCTTACAAAGTTTGAGCCAACCTTTAAAAATTGCAATTTCACATAAAAATCAAAATTTCCACTTTTTTCTTCAAAAATAGGAAGCTCTGACAATCTAAGTCCTTCATTCTCTCCAAGCTACAGTCAGACAACATTTGGCTAGAGGCTACTAGCAGTTGTCCCCACAGACAGAGCCTGCAGTCTCACCACTCACAAGGCACTTTTGGGAAAAGTAGAGAAAGGCATTTCCTCCTCTGGGCAGGGTGCACAGCTTGGCAGGGTAAGCAAAGGCTAGATGGATTTCAGTCTATGCTCTCCAACTCAGCTGGGCTCCCTTGTTGAGAGCCCAGCTGGCATGACCATAAGCATTGGCTCTTCCCCCAAAATAAATGCACGTAGGTGCCTGGCCTCTGTAGGTGTGCATATCTAAAATGTCCAGAAGAATGGCAATCTGTTCTCCAATTCTGTTTATTCATGTTTTTCTCAACTCTGTCATCTGCTTTGTCTCCGAGTTGGCTTTGCTCAGTCACAAGATGCCTACCAGCAGCTGAGAGTGCTACCTGCTACCTGTCCATTCTCTTGAAGATGGAGAGAATACTTTTCCATGACCCTCAAACAAGAGTCTGAGCTACATTCTAATTGAATCACTCCTGAGACAATCCCTTTTGACCAGGAGAATGCCTGGCACTGATTAGCTCAGGCTTGGTTACTTGAAAAATTTACTGTGGCAAGACAGATGGAGATTTAGACCGATGTTTCTCAATAGAGGTGTTACTAACATTTTGGCCAGGATGTTTTTCAGCTGCACCCTACTGATGCATCTCATCACAGTACATTTAGCATATCTGTTCCCTACCCATCATGCCACTCATGACCGTCCCTGGCACAATCAAAAAATGCCCCACACACTAGCTCAATCCAGACACTCCTACATCTGGAGGCCAGGCTGAACTGAATGGCCTACCACACAATGGGGAAAGATAGTTCCTTAAAAACAAAGTCTCATCCTGTTAGGAAGATGGGAGAGTGGGAAGGATTCTGGGAAGGCAATGTACAGGTATCCACTACACCTTTCCTCTATGTACGAAAGAAGGTAAAAAGGAAGAAAAACTATGGATGCTCAACGTTTAACATGTGATATTCCCCTTCAGATGTGCTCCTGGTTACTATGGAAACCCCTTACTCGTTGGAAGCACCTGTAAGAAATGTGACTGCAGTGGAAATTCAGATCCCAACCTGATCTTTGAATACTGTGATGAAGTCACTGGCCAGTGTAGGAATTGCTTACATAACACCACCGGATTCAAGTGTGAACGCTGTGCTCCTGGCTACTATGGGGATGCCAGGACAGCCAAGAACTGTGCAGGTATAATACTATAAATCCTAAGCCAGCTGCCTGTCTAGCATGGCCCTCTGTTAATACTGAATTTAGAGGGAGAGTTTATTTTGGGGAAATATTGCAAGTGCCCCCTGTCACTTTTCCAGGGCAATGTACATTCTCAGGTATGTGCTTCCCAAACTCACTAGGGATAGAAATTTTTATCAAGGCTACTAATGAAACTTAGCTCATGGGTAGAATGGACCAGGAGACACTAACACAAATGAACTTTCATCCCATCATCTTATATCTTTCCATTTTTGATCAAAGAAACAAATCAGACCTCCATGGATTAACTATCATTGACAGAGAACTGAATGAAATCTTGCATCATTCAAATCAGTGTTCTTACTCTGGAGGCTTTGTCTCTTCTTTCAGTTACGTTTGGTAAAATTGACAAGATTAACAAACCAAGGATACAATTTAATCACGACCTCTCCCCCAGTGTCTTCATATTGTCAGAATAAATATTTCAGGGAGAGTATAAGAAATCTTCCTGGTTAGACTTTAATTAGAGCGAAATGTACGAATTTTATTTATGATTTTGCCAATCTATTTGCCACAGAGAGTGAAGCTCTTCTGAAGTGAAGTTAAATTGCTTTCCTCTAGGAGTAAAGGAAGGCTGAGATTATTTCTTATTCTTTTATGACTTTGAGGAAAGGAAGGGAGAGAAGGCAATATTTTGCTCTTGTGGCATGCTTCTGTAAGAAATCCGCTCATTGAGGGCCGGCCCGGTGGCGCACTGGAGAGGTCAAGGGTTCGGATCCCATGTGGAGACCGGTTCCCGCTCACTGGCTGAGCGCGGTGCGGGCACAACACCGAGGGTTGCTATCCCGTTGCCGGTCCCCGGTACGGGTGCGACACTGAGGGTTGCGATCCCGTTACCGGTCAGTAAAAAAGACAAAAATGGAAAAAAAAAAAAAAAAGAAATCCTCTCATTGAAAAAGATTCCCGCTGGAAAGATTTAAGAAACGAAGAGTTTAAAATTAAGAAGGGAACATGTATGATCTGCAGAAGTCACAATAACAGTAAACATGCCTACAAAAACGCAATGTGCACAGAGCCATAACACCGTGAATGAAGAACGAAGAGTTTAAAATTAAGAAGGGAACATGTATGATCTGCAGAAGTCAGAATAACAGTAAACATGCCTACAAAAACGCAATGTGCACAGAGCCATAACACCGTGAATGAAGCGGGAAGAAATGAGCACTGTGTCCCGTCAGAGCAAAGAGAGAGAAAGTGGTCATCAGAAAGAGTGCTGGTAAAATCAAAGCCTGCAAGGTTGACATCCTGGTTCTCAAAACATTTACCAAACTTATGTTTAAACTACAAAGATGCAGATCACTCTTAGAAGAGAAGCTAATGTCAGAAGCAATAAAGCATGATTTTGCCGAATGGCTTAATAAGTCTGCATTTTGTGCAACATTAAAAGCTGAAATGGATGCCCCCTTGAAGCTAATTTTGTGTGATTATTCTGTAAAGACAGTTAAGAAGTAGAAGAAAATTCACAATTCTATCCCAGCTATTGTTAGCCAAGATAGTTTAGGAATGGCTCTTTAAATATTACAAATTAATTTCCATTCAGAAACTCAGTGGAAAATGAAAACCTGATGAGGTTGGGTTTTTGTTTTTGCTTTTTTCAAAAGGCATTGTTGAAAATAATCAGTAGATGAATAATGGACTCGTAGGTCTTCAACATTCATGTAAATCTGTTCCTAATTCTTTCCACAACATTATTCCTAGCTATCCCACTGATGGCTATAATTTGGAGGTTTGGAGTCTGTCTTGCCAAAGGTCAAGAGCTGTGGGAACTGCTCCCGGGCCTCTTCATTCACTCTTTCCTGAGCTGCTTCTCCTGAGCACCTGGCAAAGACCAACCCTGGAGTTGGATTAAAATGGAGAATCAGTCTGCAGTGAATTTCAAGTTGAATGATGGACTCTCTGTGAAACTTACCAGGATTTTTTCAAACAAAACAGTTGTGCGGTCATGTCAGAACCCCAAAGAGTTGAAAGAGGAATTCTAGAAAACTTAGATCCCATTTTGCCCAGGATCACTTTTGAAAATTTCATTGGGCTGTCGCTTAAATAGCTGAGAGGCATAAACTCTATATCATAGATTCCACACAGCCCTAAGGAATAATATAATTAATCTCCATTGAAGAATTCTACATGGATAGCCAGTATTTCTAGAAATCATGAAAATATTGGCATATTTTAAGCATTAAGAAATGAATCCCTAATCTCTTGTTTTTGTTTCCCACAGTGTGCAATTGTGGGGGAGGCCCCTGTGACAGCGTAACCGGAGAGTGCTTGGAAGAAGGTTCTGAACCCCCTACAGGCATGGACTGCCCAACCATAAGTAAAAATAACACTACATGATTGACTAACCCCACTTTCCCTAATGTGCTGCAGGTGTGGGATTAAGAAGAGCTATGCAATATCACTCTCTTTAAAAACTGCCTGAGCCCCTCCCTGGAGTTAACCCTGTCTGCATCTCAACCAAATGGACCCTGCACGAAAGCTGCTTGGTGATCCACTTGACTCCAATTGGCAAATAGGTGGTTTACATTTACACAGCTCTAGTTTAGAAAACTTATTTTGTTAAGTATTTCTGTTCAATATCTTGCCTAAGGGGTAAATGCAAAGTCAAAAACACAACTTCCAATGACAGAGCTCATTTTAGCTCCTTTATCTATGTCGTCTCTTTGGGTCCTTGGATAATATGACATACAGACGGTGCTTTACAACACCTAGGGAAACTGAGATACCAACAGATTTAAATGAATTTTCTCAAATCACTCCAAATTTGAAGCAGGACCAGAAATAAAATACTCAGGCTTGACAAAATAGAGCTGCCTTCTTTCTTTCCTGGATTTCTCTGTTACTCCTGTTAATGAAATCATAAGCAGTTATACTGAAAACAAAATTTTGGGTTTAAAGACTATTTTAACATCAGGCATCCCCTTCCCCAAACAAAAGTCTCTTGGTCGCTCAGTACCTCTGAGTAGAAGAGATGAATATTACCAGTGAATCACATCTTAGAAGATGGCATAGGATGTGATGCACAAGCAGGGCAAAGTTTACACACTGATCAAATAGGTGGCGCCCTGGGCAAGGTCATTTGAAGGACACCAAGATGCCTGTCTGACCCTAAGCATCTCCCCCACCAGACAGGAGATTCCTCCCCTTGAGAGAGCTTATAAGGAAGACCATGTTAAACTACAAATAACAAATTAACATATTAACAACGATTAACCCTACAGTCTCCCTTCGTCAGTTCTCTAGAAGAGAGCACTGTCTCAGGGAAAGAGACTGGGAACCGGCAAGTTGCCAAAGGTGGTGAAGACAAGTTTCAGAGCATGATGAGCTGTGCTTTTGAGTGTGTCACAGGAGAGCACTGGGTCCTGGGGGTGATGGCAGTGGTCAGAGGAACTCAAACGTGACAGGCTAGGAGCAATGGGAAACTGTGACCTGCCCCGCCGCGTGCATCATCATCAAGTGTCGGGGAAGCAGCATTCACAGACAGCGAAGCCCTGCACACCTCCCTCTGCAGGAGTGCTCACCCATGCAGGAGCTGGGGCCATGGTGGAGCTCAGCCCTCCCTGGGGTGAGGCGAAGGCAGGTGCTAGCAGCTGGTACTGAGAAAAGCAATAGGAAAGGAGGGTGCCTAGCAAATAGTCCTCTTCACTAGCTGGCACCAAGCAAGAGCCCAAAGCCTGACAAAAATAGCATCATTCCAGAGAGATTTCCCACCACTGAGGAAAAGCAGACAGGGCTCTCCTTCCCATCCACTGGTCAGATGCCCTTTGTGCTTCCTTTCTTTCTCCTTTCAGCACCTCATGTCCATGTTCACCTGCTTTCCCCTTGCATGCGTTTGTTGTTGTTGTGTTTTAAGTGGGGATAGCGCCTGATGTACAGTCTGGCTCGTCTTAGGCTCTGCTCCACTTGGAGTGTAAGGACTAGCCTGTGACCCTGAACAGCTCCTCAGGAAACAATAGTAAAAATGGTATTAACCAAGAAAGTACACATTCAGGATCTACTTAAAGTGGCATGCTTCCAGGCTAACTTTGATTCTGAAGAAATGACCTGCCCGTTTCACCACCAGGCTGCGACAGGTGTGTCTGGGATCTGACGGATGACCTGCGGTTAGCGGCGCTCTCCATGGAAGAAAGCAAAGCTGGGCTGCTGAGCGTGTCCTCCGGTGCCGCTGCTCATAGGCACGTGAATGAAATGAACGCCACCATCTTCCTCCTCAAAGTATGCAGGAATGTCGTACCTTCGGCTGAGCTTTCATTCTGGTCTCGCAGGTCGCTCCTAGTAACTCCTTCTATGCCCTTTTGGTATCTGAGTCCCATAGCTATATTAAAAATGCTTAAACCTGAGGTCTAACGTACATAACACACATAATTTCATAGGAAATTATGAGAAGTTGATCACAACCATGATCTTCGACCCAAACCGAAAGCTGCCATCTATAAAAGAGGTTATTATGGAAAATTAAATGACTAAAAGACTACTGTCTATGTACAAAGCCACTGAGGGAAGAAAAACACTCTTATTTCCCTTGTGAAGCTGTGTATGAGCTATTCAAGGCAATACCACAAACCAACCATCACCTTAGCCTCAATCTGCAAGGTTTTGAGAAGTTCCTCTAGAAGCATCCCTTCTCTTTCTTTCTCCCTCTTTTGCTCCATCTTTCTCCCCCCTCCCCCACCTTTCCTTCTCACTTCTGTAATTCTCTATGATTTTCCCACGCTCACACACATAAACATACACACATGCCCAGTTTCTCCTCATAGGTCTACTGGTTAATATCTAATAAACAAGTGAAAGGCAGGCAACAGTAAAAAACGGTTTTATAAAGGTCCGTATAATCTAAGTTTTAAGAGTTTTCCTTCTGCTAAATCATGGGCTTCTATCACAACCAAAGGATATTTTAAAAAATAATAATAATTAACTGAAAGGACAATAAAATTTTTTTTTCCTTTTTTGTCTTTTTTACTGACCGGTAACGGGATCGCAACCCTCGGTGTCGCGCCCGCACCGCACTCAGCCAGTGAGCAGGAACCAGTCTCCACATGGGATCCGAACCCTCGGCGGGAGCGCTGCCATGCTCCCAAGCGGCGCACTCTCCAGTGCGCCACCGGGCCATCCCGAAAGGACAACAAAATTAATGCCACCGCATTGTTTTACTTTGTTAGTCAATTTAGCATAATGATTAAGAGCATAAGCTTTGAAACCAGATTGCATTTAAATCTCAACTCTGAGGCTTACTGGTTGTGTGACTTTGGGCAAGTTATTTAACCTCTTTATTCTTCAGTTTCTTCATCTGGAATTGATGGTAATTATTGCTATCTCATGGGCTGGTGAGAGAATTCAATGAGTTGATGTATGCAGAGCAGTTAGAACTGTACCTGGCATAGTAAGTAGACATTATTTTTTGGAGGTGCAAATGGTATCCACCGCAATTGGCCAAATACGCAAAGTATAAACCAAAATAAAAATCATTATATTGTAGAGCTGGATGGAATCTTAGTGAGCATTGTATTCCAAACTTAGGAATTGTTCTTGTCTAAATTCACCTGTTTGAACACATGAGGGCACTAATTCTCGGAGGAGTCACCCAGATTGAGACCTCTTGATGTACCACTCAAATTCTCTTTCCTCAAAGGCACAACTTAAAGGTAGTTATCATCATAGCTGATGGGAAATCTGTGCCAAGAGTGAAGGGATTACTCAAAAGTAATTTGAGGAAAGCTACATTAAGACCCAACTCCTTGAAAATGCAAAGGAAGGGCCAAGTGGTCTGAAATAAAGAGAATTGTTCTCTTTATACTAAAAAGAGGAGAGTGAATTTCTTAACTCCATTTACATTGTTTCTGGTGGGTTGACCAGTTCCTCCGAGGCCTGACCAAATTGAAATTTTAAAGCTCAGACACCCAGGGCCACCACCATCCTATACTGTACCTTTGTGCAAATTAGGAAAAGGTGCCCTTTCACCACGGCCAGCCCAGCCCCAGGCCAGGGTCTTTGGCCTAGTGAGTGGAGCTTGCAGAATTTCAGCTTTTAGGAGCCTAGGTCCCCTTGTGCAGACCTCACACCAGCCTGCAGCAGCCTGCAGACCCACTGTTTTGAAAGATGAGGCCCACACTCTACACTGAAAGAGCTTTATGTATATTTTTAAAACCTGGTGTGCACCTCTACTGATTATTTTCAAAACACATTTTTCCACAGACAAAATTGTCAGAAAGAGAAAACCAGTATGTCCTAAAAAAGATACAAATCAACAATGCTGAGAACACAATGAAAAGCCTTCTGTCTGACGTGGAGGAATTAGTTGAAAAGGTATGTATTCAGTTTCTGGGACCACCTTCAAAGAAAGGATTTAGCTGGTGTGAGCCTGGCTAGGCACAAACAGCTAAGGCTTAAACACAGCCCAGAAAAAAATGCAGTGACCCATGTGCCTTAAAATAAATCAAGGCCACACCTGTGAAGAAAGTTAACATACTCGGTCTCCACTGCCTCTTCCCGTTTTGATTGGTTTTCTTAAAGTACTTTGTTTATGAGAAACTCTCTGTGTGTTTGCTGTTGGTTGATATGGCTGATATATGTTTCAATTAGAATAGTCATTAAGCTGTTTACCTTAGCATTTTATGGCTAAGACCTACAGAGCATTCAGAAATAAACTTTATTATATAGAATACAAAATTTAAATGTTCACTAAAGGATGCATGAAATGATAAAAGGAAAGAAAAGGAATTGTCCTGAAAAAGCAATTGTATAGTTTGGCAGGAAAAAAAAAGTAACTTTCGACCCTCATTTTATGCCATAGACTAAAGTCCAGAGAGATTGAAGAGTTGAGTATAAATCTCAAATCCACAAGAAAAAAGAACTAAATAATTATTATACCTTGAAAGGAAATAACAATACACCCAAATACAGTATAAAGAATTACAATTAAAAGCGTTAATAGATTTGACAAGATAAAATTTCAAATACCCAGTAAGACAACTAAATAAACAAAAAAGTCAACTAGACAGAGAAAAATATTAAGGGAGATATGACTTGTGAAAGCTGTCACCAACTAACAAAGAAAACCATTAGAACATGAGCAGAGTCCATGTGAGAGACTATTCAATACACTCCCCCAGAGCCTAATAGAAAAATATCTATTCACCCTTCATACTAATCAAAAAAATGCAGACGAAGTCACAAGGCACCATATCTAACATATTAAAATGTTTCATACGGTTTTTTTTCCTGATGATGCTTCACCAGTGATGGCCAGAGTAGTCTAGAACTGCTGCTCTCAGATACTGGTGTTCGACATTTTTAACTGTCAAGGTTCTTTTCAAAACAATTCTCATTTTCTACAAAAATAAAGGTTAAAATAATTCTGAAATTCGCTTTTGACTTTGTACCTCCTAAACTTTCAAGCAATTTTGCTTCTAAAGATGTAAATTACCCTAATTGTACCCTTGCAAGATTCATCTACTTTGAAATAAATATGAAAATTGTGTCCCTAGTTCCCAAACAATGGTGCATATCAATCCAATCACTAGCATTGCAAAGAGCAGTGAACTCTCTTAAGTTTCAAAGGAAATACCAAGAAAGAAATCTTTGTGAAAACTCATTGTTATTTCACGTCGGTATCATGGTTGGAACTTGCCAAAAGTGTCTCAATTCTTAAGGAAATGTTTTCACCAAGATTAGCTTCTCCTACAGCTTAGACAGAGTTACCGACCCTTTTCTTGCACAATTTTCCTGCTTCTAAAGTAAGCCAAATGCAGGCTTTCATAGAGAGGAAATAGTGCAAGCTTGAAAGTGACATTACAGTAGAAAAAGCTCCTGGGCAGCAAGAACAGACCACCAAAGCAGGAGCTTGATGATAAAGCTGCTTGGAACTTTCACCTGGCAGTTTCCATCAATTTTTATTGAAAAACAACAGTCTTCTGACTACAACAGTCCTGACTGTGCAAAAACCTACTAAAACATTTCAAAACAAATGCCCAGAGCTGTTCTTAATGACTTCTCAAGCATCCTTCAAGTTCTAGAAAAGTCTGTGATTGATTTGTAGGAAGATTTAAGAAAAGCTTTGACTTAGAAAGCCTTTATCAAGAAAATAACTAATATTTGGCTTTAAGTAGAGTGAAGGATTCCATTGTGTGTTCCCATAGTGATAAAAATCACAGTAATGTTGCCTCTTGAATTTGCCAAGTAATATCTGTGTTTGCAAATTACCTGCCACATGGATCTAAAGTGACCCAAATCTCACAAGTTACATTCGTCTGGTTACTGGTTTTGTTCCAACCTCCATATCCAAGTCCTCCAGCCCTCTTTTGGGAAGTCTCACAGCCCTTTCCCACCACCTACTTCTGGAAATTCCTAAAGGATGCCCATGCATCTGTGTTCACAACAGCCAGTGCTCAAAAGACCCTCACTCTTGCCACTGCTGATCATATCCATAATGAAAATACCAAAGACTGTGCCAAGATTTCACTCTCCCATGTTCCCAGAGCCACCATATTCAAGGTCAGAGTGGTGCTGGGCTACAGGTAGAGGTGCCAATGTGGCCCTCTCCCAGTCTCAGTGATGCCTCTCAACATCTGGACCTTGAAGGTCCACTGCAGAGCCCAGAGTCATGAAGGCCAGTCTCCAAGGGTGGCTCATGAGGTGTGGTACCATCACCTCCACTTCATCTCCTCCATCTCTGCTCTCCTCCCTACGCCCTCAACCACAGCAAAAGCTCCCAGCATATCGACTCATGCAAAGAGATACTTAAGACTGAAAGGAAAGTAGGTCACCTCCAAACATCGAAAGCTTCTGAGCTTCATCTCTGGTGCTGCCAAAAAGGCAGGATGAAAATAAGAATATGTGTCTATTCCAGAAGCATTACTGAACACCTGATATATAACTGTTATTTCAGGGATACTGAAAAGAACATAGTAAGGCACTGCTCTCAAGATGTTCACAGTCTAGTAGAGAAACAGATATGTAAAAAAAAAAAAAATTATGACACAGCATTTAATGAGAAGCATAGTACAGACCAAAGGGTAACCCTAAGGAAAAAATGTGAACTCTGTCAGCAGGTACTTCCAAGCAAGGGATAAGTATTACAGGAGCAGAGATGTGAAACAACATGGTGTATTATTGGGACTAGAAGAAACGTTGGCCTTTGCCTTGCAGAAGATTAATTGTAAAGAAAAGAGTGGGAGATAGTGCTGAAGAAGTTGTCAGAGGCCAGATCGTGCAGAGCTTTGCCCAGGAACATGTGAACTTCATCCTGTGGACTTCAGAAGTCATTGAAGTATTTGCCTAGACCAATTAGCTGATTAGATGTTCATTTCACAAACGTTTCTCTGCAGTATGAAGGAGAGACTGCAATTGGAGACTGAGGGCAGGGCACCGGTTAGGAGACCGCCCCAGTAGACTAGACAGGAGAATGGCTGATTGCTGCCTTGTCTTCATTTGAAAAGGACTGGTGGGGAATGGGAATGATCTGTAGTAGTGGGAAGAGAAAGAGGCTAGAAGGCAAGAGAAATAAAGAAGACTGGGTGACCAATTGGAGGTAGGAGTAGCAAGGAAGGAAGCTCTGTCTTGGAGAAATGGATGACCAAAACTAAAAATACAGAAAGGATTCTCTGGACATTTAACGAGTGAGGTATGTGTGAATGCCCAGAGGGCAATTAGAAATTTGAGTCTGCAGCTCAGAGGACAGTTCAGGGCTGGGAGGGTGTTTGGAAGTCAGTAATGTTTGGTAGGTAGGTAAACCAGAGAAGTAGACATCACTGCACGGATTCTGAAGCAGCACACTAATCCCTACTATTGGTTTGTCCAGGACTGTCCCTGTTTATGCTTGTGTCCCAGAGTGATTACTAAATTTCTCCCTTTCACTCCCCCAAACCATCCCAGTTTAAACAATAAAATATATAATAACCCTAGATGTTATTATTCTTATTTAATCTGGTTGATTTTAATTAGTATTCTAGGTACGCTACCTTTTATGTGCTGTATTATCAAAAAATTCTGGTTTATGGTTGTGAGGTAATATTTTAATTTCAGCTTTACTTAAAGCAAGGCATACCTGTTTTATCATTTTTATCATTATTTTCCTTCCAGAAATAAAGTTACAAAAAAATAAATAAAGCATCCAAATAAGACATCACTATATATTATAGTCAGTAATTGTACAATTTAAAATAATGAATGTTCCTCTTTACCACTGATTGGAACATTAGATAGATAGATATAGAGATATATTTTATATCTTTTTATATATGCATATTTTATATATCTCATAGCGCCCTCTGGCGTTTATCAGAAAGAGGAGGTTTTCTAGCATGTGTGACATCCTTCAGCTGTCTTTCATTGGTTCAATTCAGTTTCCATATCAAAAAATAAGTTTTATGACACAGAAATTATGGTAGATCTTTCCCTTAAAGAATAAAGCCAAAGCTAATAATGTGAGTGTTGCACTTTGCAAATATACTCAATTTAAACTGGATCAAAGATCAACTTGTTAAAAATTCTAAAATGTTTTAAATGTTTGCTCCCATAATTTTTTTTTTTTTTTTTTTTTTTTTTGTCTTTTTTGTCTTTTTCCGTGTCCAGCAACGGGATCGCAACCCTCGGCGTTGCCCCCGCGCCTCGCTCAGCCAGTGAGCGGGAACCGGTCTGTATGTGGGATCCGAACCCTCGGGCGGGAGCGCCGCCGCGCTTCCCAAGCGGCGCACTATCCAGTGCGCTACCGGGCCGGCCCCTGCTCCCATAATTTTTAAAAGCAGGGAGGAGTGACACCAAGAATATGATTCATTTCATTTCCTGCATCATCTAATTTTTAAATGACCACAAATATTGTTTCTTTGGAAAGCATTAGAACAAGCCAAGAGAAAGCCTATAATTGGAGGAAAGAACACAATGGCTCAGAAAGCAAAGTCCATACTGAGGTCCCACAGTTGATGAAGGGACTGATGGCCACATTACCTCTGCACCAGGGGCTTCACCACTCCAGCAGCATTGCTCCGCATGGACGGGATTATTGACTTGCCCAATAAAAAGCCTCTAAGCATGTGTTTGCTATAATACCATTTCTGCATTACCTTCCTGGATCATCTTAGAAGGCCACTTGCTTGGGTTATACCTGAGAAATGTAAAAACGTTCCCGATAAAATCATGTCATAATCCTCTGAGTGGAACACTAGGTGAAAGGAGAGATGTTTGACACAGCCACTTCCCTACCCTGGGGAAACTGTGCAATGGGTTTACCAGTGCTCTGCGTAGCACATCATCCTGCAGTTCATTCAGGTTTTGTAGCACTATGTTACCGAGCTGAGCCAAAAGGGTACCAGAAAAGGCAAGTGGGCATTTACCAAATGCCAGACTGAAGAACTTCTCCTTTAAATATAACCCATGAATCAGTCTTTCTAATGCCAAAAGGAGGTACAGTGTCCTGGACTTGAACCATTTCTGTGCTCTTAGATCGGCTTCTGTCCTTGACCACACACACAGAAACACACACATACACATACACACCCACACACACCCTTTCATCAGAAACCACACTGGAGTTGGGATTTAATTTTGATAAATACTATGTGAGAGCTCTGAAACAGAAGCTCCCAAATTGAAAGGATGGAATCAGCTTCTGGGAGAAAAGCTCCATTCACTCTGAGCCAAATCTGCTCGAGCAGTTATTTGTACACAAGTGCCATCAATGTTGATGGGAATTTGGAATGAAGCACTGAAAATGGCACTTAGCCCAGTGAGCATAATCCTTTAAATCTCTGTGGTAGTTCAGTTTCAGCAGTGGTTGGACCACCTATGGAGCATTTCAAGGTTTCAACAATTTTCTCTTTGAAACATTAAACTGTTTGGTCAGCACAATGTCAAACTGATCAGCAGACATGGATAATTTTCTAGTCCGGCATCTTGAGATACAGAAAAACGCAAAGGATAAATTACATATGAAAGGAAGTTGGTTTGGATTGAACTGTGACTGATGGCATAGGAATAGCATCTGATTTTATAGCATTCTGTGATTCTAAAACTGGTCATCACATCAGCTTTCATGCATGACATCTGGAACCATTTTACCTGTTATAGAACATTCGCATGCCAGGAAAATTTACGTTTATGGAATACATTATGCCTACCCACTCCCACATGCACATATACAACATTCCTTTCTCATAAATTTAATCTAGTGTTCATGTGGGTTCTTTGTAGGGAAGTCATGCCTCAAGAAGGGGACAACAGGTTCAGAAGGAAAGCATGGACACCATTAACCATGCGACTCAGCTTGTAGAGCAAGCCCACGACATGAGGGATAAAATCGAAGGTAAATATATTCTCTACTGGTTCGGGTTAGTGTCAAGGAAACACTAAACACTTTCTGTTATTAACAATAGCAATAATGGCTTACTATAATAAATGCTTCCTATGTGCCAGGAACTTGCAGAGTATTATAAGTTTAAATTTCTATAAGGTCTTCATTTCAAGTTTGTTTAGTTAAGGTTTCTGAGCACTCATACCTACTTACTATCTGTTGATGTTCAACAATAAATGTACAAAATCATTCCCTTTCCAGGCACTTCACAGAAATGGAATTCCAGATTACCTTTCCAGCAGAGGAAATGGCATACTATAGTGTCTAAAATGCAAGAGTCGAGTAGGAATCGCATGTTTTTCTAAGTTATTTGCAGAGAAAACATCGCCTTTAGAATGGCAATAAATTGTCAGCTAATCCAAATCATCATAAGCTGTTTCTGTGATGCTCTTTCCCAAAGACCAGGCAGGCAGCATGCTCAGGTCTCCAGTCCAGAAGAAAAGGAGGAAGGAGGCTGTATGAGATTTCTTTGCCCTAAAATATTGTGACAGATTTTATAATAAACCTCTTGGAGGTTTACTTATTTGTGCTCTAACTTCTGGTAAGTGCAGGCTGCATTTTGAAGACTATTTTTAATAGCACACTGAAAGACAGCCTTCAATTTACCAACAGAAAACAGGAGATTTCATTTGTTCTAGGATGAAGAGGATTTCCTTGGTTTAGAGTCTGCTCAGATCCAGTACTTGTGTTTCCACAATGTTTATTGTACTATATATTAAGAGCTGGATGACAACACCAAGTACATCTCAGGGTACAATGAAAGTAAAGAGACCCACAGAGGGAGATTCATACCTTTATACTAAGGTGTCAGGGTATATTCCAGGCAAAGGGCTTGGATTAATAGAGCCAAGATTAATCATTTGCTACACTTCCTTTGGTGCCTATAATATACAATAAAAACAAATGGCATGCATTTCAAACACTCCCCTTTCACATCCTCTTATCTGATGTATTTATTTTTACATTTACTGGTAAAATTACTCTTTTCCTATAACATTTTAGAGTTACTATTGATTTGTTCAAAAAGTGAGATTGAACCTAGAAAATTAGATGACCTTATCCAATTAAGAAATAAAAGACCCTTTAGGTAACAAATAATGCCGGGACCCTAGTAGGCCATTTAGAGAAAATAATTCACTTTTGCTGTTGTAATCAAATAAATTTTGATTCTAACGTGTTTCCTTCGGAAAGAATATGAACCTTCTTATTTGACTCTTTAAGCATGGGAAAGGATGAAAAAATACAAAAAAAAAAAAAGTAAATAAGAAACAATAACTTTCAGTTTTTACCTTTTAAAAATAATGTATGAACAGTCTCCAAAAACCAAAGGCAGAAATGCTACTGTCTATATTTCCTTTTTCTAATCTGCACCAGACATGGCTAAAATAAAACAAGCTAAAATTGTAAACATCATATTTGCATCAAAATGACAAAAAAATTCAGCATTGTAAGAGCTAGAGCTGAGAAAAAAATATATTTCGTTTATTTCAGGAGTTAATATTTTAGACTCTACTTGAATAATAAATGTTTAATCCCTGCATGTTTTTTGAACATATCTTAATATCCCTATAACTCTGTCAGTAATATTGATAGCATTAAAAACTTCTGCCCCCATTTGTCTCCCTTCCTTCAGAATTCTAGAATGCTGTACCACAACAATTGTGTGTCATTTCTTATTCCCAACCATCTCTAAAATAACTGCTGGTGACCTTCAAGTTATTATCCATATAAAATGCAACCCCTCATCCAGGTATGATTTATGTGACACCAGTGTTTGTTTCCCCATCTTGTCAGGGCAACCACATAGATCATAGTAAACCACAGACACACAATTTTATTTATGCCAGAAAGATAAAATGCTTCCTCCCAGTAGAACAAGGTAGAAATTACATAACTTTCTTCTGATTGTGTGTAGTAGGAATGAGGGATGAAAACTATCCCAGCTCTGCTAGTGCTTAGACAACTCACCTAATCTTTCTGAGCCGCAGTGGTTCCTCCAGTGCTAAAATTCTCCATCCTACTTATGGAAGAGGGATAAAAATCATCCAGATTCAAAATGGACCAATTGACAAGCAGTCATGCTGCAGAAGGCAAATGGCAATTGCCAAAAAACAAATATTAATATAAACTCATGCCATGCTATGACAAACCCCTGTTTTATGTCTAGTCTGTAAAACAATCTGGAAGACTCATTGGTCAATTATCAATCTGTTTGGCTTAGAGCTTTGGTCAAATCCTTGGCTAGAATACAATTAATAATAAAACAATAAAATACAATTAATCTCACGTATCCCTCATATAAGTATGGCAGCATATACCTTAGAACATTTTCTCCAAGTAAAGTATTTATATGAAAGGTTGATCAAGACCCCAGGTTTTTGTGCCTTAACTATGAACATTCTCGAGTCACTGTGGAAACCAGATGCAGATGAAAGCAGGCTTTGTATTAGCTCATTCCCATTATGAAGACGCCACATAGGAAGCAGAGAAGAGTGGGTCCCTCAGGTTTTTCTCCTCTTTGGAGTATGTGGTGGCCTCCGACACCAATGCCAGTATTCACAGCATGAGTGCCAGCACGCTGTCTGTGAATAAGCCTCTCTTTCTGTCTCAGGATCAGCCCTGTCCTTGGCTCTCGCAGCCCTGTGTTTTCAGTGACATTGTTATAAAGTGTGTAGTCATCTCTTCCACAGCCTTCTTTCTCCATGTTCTTCCTTTCAGAGATCAACAAGAAGATGCTCTTTTATGGGCAGGAGCAGGAACTTAGTGCTGAGGAGATCTCTGAGAAGCTGGTGTTGGCCCAGAAGATGCTTGAGGAGATTCGACGCCGCCAACCATTCCTCACCCAGCGGGAGCTTGTGGACGAGGAAGCAGACGAGGCCTACGAACGTAGGTGTATTCACTCATAGCTGACCCAGCACGTGTCTGCTTCCTCTGTGGGTTTAGGAGAGGACGCCAAGCTGCAGGGCAACATCGGGTCAAAGCAACCAATTTTCAATATTCAGAGCTATTTAGAATTTATATGTGGCCTCAGGGAATCCATCAGGATGACTTGACCACATGACCAAGATTTTTAGATCCAGGCCCAACACAGAGCCCTTGGGAAACAGCTGAGAGTCCATAAGAAATCTACAGACCTTTTACTCCCGTGGGCAGGAAGGAGGGACTTAGCAGTTGGTGAACGTGTATAAAACAGGGGAAGGAAGGCTGAGGGGAACCAATTCCCAGAACTACAGTAAGAGAAATTTTATTGAGAAGGCAGAAATGCTATAAGCCCAGCAATATTTATGTTCCGAGGGCCTTGAATGACTTTTCATAACTTTAACCTCCAATGGAAATTTGACATTTCCTTTAATGATGAATGTAGAAAACCACACCAATATTATTGAATCTATTACTTGATCACTGTAACAGTTATCAGTTACTGTCTTAACAATCTACCCCAAACACATTCATTTAAAGTAATAACCATTTATTTGCTCATGATTTCATGGGTTGGCAATTCAGGCAGTACTCCATCTGGACAGCTCATCCCGGCTCCATGTGGCATGGCCAGGCTCACTCACGAGTCTGGGGCTAGCTGGGAAGGCTGGGCCTCTCCCTCCGTGGGGTCTTACCTCAAGGAGGCTAGCCCAGGCTTGTTCACATGGCAGCAGCCTTCCAAGGTCTCTTGAGGCCTAGACTTGGAACTCAACAATGTCATATCCATTCTATTGGTTAAGACCAGCCCAGATTCATGGGATGGGGAGATAGACCCCACTGTTGATGAAAAGAGTTTCAAAGAATTTGAGTTCATTTTAATGTATACAATCAGCAAAAGAAATCACAGATTTGCATTATCATATTTTAGCTATTACTGATACCTCACAACNCCAGCGGGAGCTTGTGGACGAGGAAGCAGACGAGGCCTACGAACGTAGGTGTATTCACTCACAGCTGACCCAGCATGTGTCTGCTTCCTCTGTGGGTTTAGGAGAGGATGCCAAGCTGCAGGGCAACATCGGGTCAAAGCAACCAATTTTCAATATTCAGAGCTATTTAGAATTTATATGTGGCCTCAGGGAATCCATCAGGATGACTTGACCACATGACCAAGATTTTTAGATCCAGGCCCAACACAGAGCCCTTGGGAAACAGCTGAGAGTCCATAAGAAATCTACAGACCTTTTACTCCCGTGGGCAGGAAGGAGGGACTTAGCAGTTGGTGAACGTGTATAAAACAGGGAAAGGAAGGCCGAGGGGAACCAATTCCCAGAACTACAGTAAGAGAAATTTTATTGAGAAGGCAGAAATGCTATAAGCCCAGCAATATTTATGTTCTGAGGGCCATGAATGACTTTTCATGACTTTAACCTCCAATGGAAATTTGACATTTCCTTTAATGATGAATGTAGGCAGAAAACCACACCAGTATTATTGAATCTATGACTTGATCACTGTAACAGTTATCAGTTACTGTCTAACAATCTACCCCAAACACATTCATTTAAAGTAATAACCATTTATTTGCTCATGATTTCATGGGTTGGCAATTCAGGCAGTACTCCATCCGGACAGCTCATCCCGGCTCCATGTGGCATGGCCAAGCTCACTCACGAGTCTGGGGCTAGCTGGGAAGGCTGGGCCTCTCCCTCCATGGGGTCGTACCTCAAGGAGGCTAGCCCAGGCTTGTTCACATGGCAGCAGCCTTCCAAGGTCTCTTGAGGCCTAGACTTGGAACTCAACAATGTCATATCCATTCTATTGGTTAAGACCAGCCCAGGGCCGGCCCGGTGGCCCACTGCTACAGTGCGCCGCTTGAGAGCACGGTGGCGCTCCCACCGAGGGTTCGGATCCCACATACAGACCGGCCGCTCACTGGCTGAGCGAGGTGCAGGCACAACGCCGAGGGTTGCGATCCCGTTGCCGGTCACGGCCCGGTACGGGCACGACACTGAGGGTTGTGATACGTTGCCGGTCACGAAAAAAGACAAAAAAGGAAAAAAAAAAAAAGACCAGCCCAGATTCATGGGGTGGGGAGATAGACCCCACTGTTGATGAAAAGAATTTCAAAGAATTTGAGCTCATTTTAATGTATACAGTCAGCAAAAGAAATCACAGATTTGCATTATCATATTTTAGCTATTACTGATACCTCACAACNGTGTCTGCTTCCTCTGTGGGTTTAGGAGAGGACGCCAAGCTGCAGGGCAACATCGGGTCAAAGCAACCAATTTTCAATATTCAGAGCTATTTAGAATTTATATGTGGCCTCAGGGAATCCATCAGGATGACTTGACCACATGACCAAGATTTTTAGATCCAGGCCCAACACAGAGCCCTTGGGAAACAGCTGAGAGTCCATAAGAAATCTACAGACCTTTTACTCCCGTGGGCAGGAAGGAGGGACTTAGCAGTTGGTGAACGTGTATAAAACAGGGGAAGGAAGGCTGAGGGGAACCAATTCCCAGAACTACAGTAAGAGAAATTTTATTGAGAAGGCAGAAATGCTATAAGCCCAGCAATATTTATGTTCCGAGGGCCTTGAATGACTTTTCATAACTTTAACCTCCAATGGAAATTTGACATTTCCTTTAATGATGAATGTAGAAAACCACACCAATATTATTGAATCTATTACTTGATCACTGTAACAGTTATCAGTTACTGTCTTAACAATCTACCCCAAACACATTCATTTAAAGTAATAACCATTTATTTGCTCATGATTTCATGGGTTGGCAATTCAGGCAGTACTCCATCTGGACAGCTCATCCCGGCTCCATGTGGCATGGCCAAGCTCACTCACGAGTCTGGGGCTAGCTGGGAAGGCTGGGCCTCTCCCTCCGTGGGGTCTTACCTCAAGGAGGCTAGCCCAGGCTTGTTCACATGGCAGCAGCCTTCCAAGGTCTCTTGAGGCCTAGACTTGGAACTCAACAATGTCATATCCATTCTATTGGTTAAGACCAGCCCAGATTCATGGGATGGGGAGATAGACCCCACTGTTGATGAAAAGAGTTTCAAAGAATTTGAGTTCATTTTAATGTATACAATCAGCAAAAGAAATCACAGATTTGCATTATCATATTTTAGCTATTACTGATACCTCACAACACTCAGTTCATCAGTAACTCAAAATTATGGTAGTTACTACATTGACCTCTAGATCTTGTTTCATGCATTAATGAAGAAGTACATATACTATTATAGTACCAATTTTTGTTTTTTAATATATTGGTCTCTTTTAAATTCTATATGTTTTATTTTATCCATTTTAAAACACATTATAAGAAGGGGCCTGAGGCTTCCCTAGATTGCAGAGGGACCAATGGAACAGAAAAGGTTAAAAGGCATTAGGTCATTTTCCTGCAACTGTTGCTATCAACTTCTGCTGACAATTATTGTGGATATCATAGGAGAAGAACATTAATGACATAAAGGTTTATTATGGTTGCAAATGGTGAAGCCTTAGAAACAGCAAGAACCAGAGAAGAATCTCAGGCCTCACAATGAGGCTGACAGTCAGGAAAGCTGGAGCTCTAAAGTCTGCAGCCAGATGCCTCCTCGCAGCTCCTTGCCTATCTTGGAATTTAACAGACTGCCCTGGGGAAATGGGACCAATCCCATTGCCCACTTAACCTCCTTCCGCCTAGTGAGTACATTGTCAGCCACTTTCTGCTCAAAGTGATGAAAGAAAATACAAAATCTCAACAAGACAGACTGATATTCCCTGCAGGAAAATAGAATTAAGGCACCTAGAGAACACGTGTGCCTTTGAGCAGAGAATAAAAGACACATACCAAGTTTAAGAATATCATATCATTGCCATTTATCTTTATTCCACCCCAAATCATGGTTCAGGTTTGACCTAAAGGAGCTAACTAAAAAGAATTGAATACAGAAAATGAGTGCATATGAACATCATTTTCCCTAATTACTGATGAGATAATTTTACTATCAAAAAGAATAGTAAAAACTATTCAAGTCCCCTTTACATAGCAAAATTATTAATAATCTGGATAATAATAAGCCTAGTAGAATGACATTGTTTCCACATAAAACATAATCTTTGTGAGAAAACTAACCAAACCCTAAAAAATAGCATTTTTTACTTTAAATGTAAAATAGAGGGCTGTTTTCGTGAACAATAGCTTCAATCTCAGTTGCTAAAGTAGGCATGACCTGACAATTTTGCAACTTTGCTAAGTGCTAGAAGGAAGGGGAGGAGACAGGGGAAGCCCAGACTGAGTTTCTGTCTGCATCTCTTCCCAGTGTTGAGCCAGGCTGAGAGTTGGCAGCAGCTGTACAATGATACTCGCGCTCTGTTTCCTGTCGTCCTGGAGCAGCTGGATGACTACAATGCTAAGCTGTCAGACCTCCAGGAATCACTTGACCAGGCCCTTGACCATGTCAGGGATGCTGAAGACATGAACAGGGCCACAGCATCCAGGCAACGAGACCACGAGGTACAGTGGACACTAAACTGTAAATGCATTTCAGGGGTGGACAACGTGAAGTTATGCCAAGAAGGGACAGCTGGAATAAATTTTTTAAAATATTGGTATATCTAAGTACTCATATTTTTAGAAATTGTATTTTGCTACTGTAAATTACTAATATGTGTGTGTAACTACAATCAAGTTGAAATTATGACAATTGTTTAGTTCTTGCATTGATAAAAATGCAACTGTTCATGGTCTATGTGTGTAGATGTGTTGCTCTTGCAAGTGCATAAATGATGTGCTATTCTTATGCATAACTTCTTTTTATACTAAGAGCACTAGAATACCAAAGCAGACCAGAACCATGTGTTCTGGGTATGTGTATTTTTCGGAGAGGAACAATAAGCAAATCTCACAACCTGGCTGGCTAGCAGCCACAGAGATAGGGAGACAGGGAGACTAATTCTAGCTAAGACCATGCAAATACAAAGAGGTGAGAAAAATTCCCAGATGCGACCATGGCTTGCAATTCCCAGATACGGCCATGGCTTGCAGTTCCCAGACATGGCCATGACTTGCAGTTCCCAAACATGGCTATGGCTTACATTTCCCAGACATGGCCATGGCTTGCATTTCCCAGACACAGCCACGGCTTAAAATTCCCAGACATGGCCATGGCTTGCAATGCCCAGATGTGGCCATGGCTTCCAATTCTCAGACATGGCTGTGACTTGCCATTTCCAGACACAGCAGTGGCTTGCAAAGACAGTCATCCTGTGGCGCCAGGATTTGTGTATGCCCACACCTGGAGGGCTGAAAACTGGTGGTGGTCACATGTCGACTCCAAGCAACACATGTACTCACAAACACCACCATGGAGAGGGGTGATCTTCTAATAGGATGGCACATACACGATTGGAAATATTTATAAAGATTACAGTCAAAAAAATGTGAACAAATAGAAAACAGCTA